TACCCCTTTTGGTTCTGAGCATACCCAAGAAAAAACACATTTCTTGGCCTTAGGAACCAATTTCTTGCGATGAGGGCCAAGAATGTGAACAAAAGAAACACAACCAAAAACCCTCAGAGGTATATGAAATATCTCTCCATTTGGAAAAAGGAGGCTAAATGGCACCTTAAACCCCAAAGTCCGTGAAGGAACACGGTAAATCACATGTACGACTGTAAGAACTGCATCTCCCCAGAACTGCACAGGAACTGAAGCACACACCATAAGACTCCTTGCCACCTCCACAATGTGTATGTTTTTCCTCTCAGCAACTGCTCTGATGAACTACACCATGTTCTAAGAGATACGTGGCTAGGTCCTTCTCAAAGTACTCTCCGGCATTATCTGATCTAAAAACCTTAGTTCTCACTCCAAATTGTGTGAGAACCATCTGGTGGAATTGCCATACTAAGTTAGGAACCTCATCACGTAATCTCATCAAATATATCCAAGAATATCGTGTATAATCATCCACAAACAAGAGAAAGTAACGGAATCCTCCCATGGAAGGGATTTCATATGGCCCCCATACATCAGTGTGAACAATATTAAAAACAGAAGTACTTCTTTTATTACTTGGTTTAAAAGACTGTCTACAATGCTTTCCTAACTGACAACTCTCACACTCCAAAGTAGATAATTCAATAGACTCAAACAACTTTGGGAAAAGACATTTCAAAGAATTAAAAGAAAGATGTCCCAAGCGATTGTGCCAAAGCATAATCTGGTTTATTGACTCAGACCCACTACTACTGCTGCTGCTAACATGAAGGCCCTGATGTCTCGAAATCTCATCCAGAAGGTAGACTCCATTCACCTCACGACCACTCCCAATCATCTTCTTTGACTCCAGATCCTACAAAACACAATTGCCAGGAAGAATGGTCACCTAACAATTCAATTTTTTTGTCAATGAACTAACAAACAGTACGTTGGTATGAAGTCTAGGGACATGTAAAACCGAGGACAGAGTTATATCATTGGTCACTCTAACTGTCCCCTTCCCAGTAATGGGCATATGTGAACCATCTGCTATAGAGACTCTGTCTCTACCAGAGCACGACTGATAGGAACTGAAAATGGTAGGGGCATTAGTTATATGCTCAGATGCTCCTGAGTCTATAATCCAGGGAAGTCCCTCCTTACCTGAAGTGGATGCAAGATCCGCAGTTGCATATGAACTACATGTATGTGCAAAGGAAGTGGTGTAATTGGCTCCTGCATTCTGCTGTCCATCTGGAAGGCTAGAGCTGAGTGAATCTTTCTTACTCGTAAGCTGCCCAAACCTCTCCAATTCTGTTCTCACTGCTGCTACTGCAATGGATTCCCAATCARTTTGGGAGAGAGGGGCTGAAGAGTCTCCTGTAGTGGCTACATTTGCATTTCCCTTCTTGTTTCTTATCCGAGCAGG